CAAAACTGGTTTCACACTCTATCGCCGCAATCGATCGGGAGTTTCAACGAACTTTCCTTTATTTTCCCTAAGGAGTATTCGTTTAACCGCTCAATCAAAAGGGCATCTGACCATTTCTTTAGCATCGTAAAAGACCCTTGGGAGACAATTCGCAACTACGTCAAGAGGTTCAAAGCAAAGAAGGTTAAGATTGTTGGTTGCAACGAAGACATAACAACGGCAACATTCAGAAATGGGCTTCCCACCAAACATTCTTTATTCGGAAAACTGATTATGGGAGAATAACTGATCCTAGCATCTTCGTGTGCGAGAATAATTGCTCTCTATGTGAAAGGGTAAACTTACTGCTCTCCAGTGTGAGAGGTTAAACTAATTCCCCGACACCCATTTGGGTAAACTCTTCAGTGCGAGAATGCCACATAGCTTAAAAGATCGAATGCTTAAAGATCAACTAGGCAGCAAATGGTCAGGGGGCAGCAACCACTTTTGCACTTAACAGTTCACTCATTCGACACTTCATCTTTAGCAACTCCGATCTTGGCAGCTGTATCCTTGACTGCTCCATCTATAGGAACTGAGAAATCTAACTCAAGCAGTTTCCTTATTTTTGGCAAGTAGCCCGAACATGGCAGCCCAAACCATTGCCCATGCCATGCCACTTCCTCGGCCCATGCCGAGCCAATCTTTGGCTTCAATCAAGCCAAACAGCATAAGCAATGGCCCCTGCCACACCATCTTCTTGGCCCATGACAAGTCGACTCCTAGCCCCTGCCAACCGACGTGCCACACCACCTCGACGGCTGCCCCGTGGCAACATCTCCCAAGAAGAAGACAAGGAGAATTAAGTTTTCCTTACATCGATGCGGCGTGGAGAAGGTGAAGAAAGCAACAAAAGATGGTCATTTGCACGGGCAAGTGTAGAAGATTGCTAGGGTAGGGGGAACAAATATCTTCTAAGCTTTCTCTCTCTTGTAAGGTAGAATAAATCGCTCTCCAAAGTTGATTTAAGAACCCACTTAAGGTGGACTTAAATAGGCTTTGAGAGGGAATCTACTTTCATATTAAAGAGGGAATCTACTTTCATATTAAAGAGGGAACCCTTTTCCTAGAATGATCTAATTTCATATTAAAGAGGGAATCTACATCAAAATAGGAAGCAGTCTTAAGTTTTCTAGAGCAAGAAGATCTCTACATCTGCTACCCTTTCCTACAAGCAGCCTAGCAGGTGTAGGAGCATTTTTGGAGCCAAAAATAATTAAGAGCCGACACGTGGATTTTTAGGTGAAAAAGGACAAAATTACCCTTGAGATACACCGGATTTCCTACATGCGAGCAATGGATAATCATCCATCAACCGAGTCAAAAGTGCCCAAAATAGGTAACAAGTTCAAATTTATTTCATCCATCTTTACTCCATATCCTCTACAAGGAAATCATTCCATAACCGTCAAAACATTCTCTATAAATTAAATTAATCAGGCTAATTAATGGATTAATTCCTAATTAATCTATTAATCACCAAATTAATCACCATTACACCCCGAAAAACATCCAAGGGCTGGCCACTCTCCCTTCCAAAGAGGGGCGGCCATGCTCTATAAATAGGACTCCATTTTCTTTGAAAGGGGAGGTCCACACTCTTGTAACTCCAAACACTTTTTCTCTCTAAATTCTAACTTTGGCATTGGAGGTTCTTTGGCCAAAGCCCTCCATTCATCGTGGGCGCGTGAGACTCTTGGCATTGACCTAAGGTGTTAATTGTTTTGTAGGTGCAATTTTGTCCAATATCAAGAATGCGGAAATTTGCATCTACAGTACGAACTAAAAATACCAAAAATTGGGTACCCCAAAATCGAAAAAATTCGGTATGGACAGCGTTATGAAATGTTGATTTGTCTGTTGAAAGCGTACCAGACCGAAATAATATATATATATATATATATATATAATATAAATATATAAGATCTGGAGTTAATATAGTTGTCGGATTTGGTTGAAATTTAATCTCAACTGTTGAATCCAAACCAACCCATCTATCTCGACCTCACCTCACTTTGCTCTCGACCCTCGGCCCTTTTATCTATGATTCTCTAGATCTATGTCCTCTTTCCTATTCTCCGTCTTCGAATTATACGGTGGCACCACACACACACATGCGTACCCACCACAATGGCCAGTGACCAGTGACCACACGGCTCTCGAGACTCCTCTGTTATGGGGTGTAGTCAAACTCAGATTTAAGAGGATTTTAAAAGACCTTAAATGTAGTCAATTAAAAGATTTTAAAGGATTTTAGAATCCATTCAAATCTAAATGTAGTCAATTTAAAGATTTTAAAGGATTTTAAAATCCATACAAATCTAAGTGTATTAAAAAAATTAAGATTTTGGAGGATTTCAATAAGTTGTGGATTTTGTGGAATTTGAGAGCAAAAAATATATATAACCAAGACTAAAAAGAATCCAACCTCACCCCCTAGGATTTCAAATCCTTCCACCACAATCCATTCAAATTCTTTAAAATCCATATAAATTTTGTAGGAGTCTTTAATCCTCTTAAATCCTATAAAATCTATCACTTTTAAAATCCTTTAAAATCATTTAAAATCATTTAAAATCTTAGTTTGACTACACCCCTTAAGGGGGTGTAGTCAAATAAGGATTTTAAAAGACTTTAGAATCTTGGTGAAGTCAATTAAGATTTTTAAAAGATTCTATTTAAATATAGGGGTAGTCAATTAAAGGATTTCGAAAGACTTTGGAATCCTTGTGTAGTCAACTAGGATTTTAAAGGGTTTTTATAGAGTCCATGCAAATCTATAGGTACTCAAAAAAATCATAGATTTTGAAGGATTTCCTTAAATAAGAGATTTTATAGGATTTGAGAATGAATGGTAAGCATAACAAAATTCTACCTCCAAGCCTAAGATTTCTTTCCAACCCCTCACTTCTTTTTCTCTCTCCTCACACTGCAACTCGAGGTTTCTTTCTCACTCTTTATTTTCTCCAAGAAACCCATCATTCCTTCCTTCTAACATCTCGACCACCCACCCCATCCTCTCAATATACAATCAATATACCATTGTATACGATCGTATACAAAGATAGCAAAGTTGATCATACCTTTGAAGATAGGACTTGAAGAAGGCAAGAGAGGGGGTGTGGATAATTGAAGGGTTTGAGTTGCATTTGTTGATGGACTCTTTCATTTTCCCTACCTTTGCAGCATCCATTCTTCTCTCGTATTTGCTGATGGACTCCTTCATTTTTCCTACATTTGCATCATCCATTCATCTCTCTCTCTCTCTCTCTCTCTCTCTCTCTCTCATAAAAGGAATCACTTCTCAGAAAAAGTCAAAAGCCGAAAGCGCTTTCATGAATGAATGATTATGGTGGAAGGTTTCTGCCGTGGGGGACCATGGACATGGAGGATAGGGGGGTTACTTGGGAGAACTGGGCACAGTTCTTCATTTACTTTCAAGTTTGATCTTAATTTTTTATTTAAAAATAAATTTTAAAATGGCAAGAGAGTCTCTCAAAATCCATTCAAATCTTTAGTTAAAGTCCATAAGAATTCTTTCAAATCTTTAATCAAAATCCATAAGAATCCTTAAAAATCCATTTGAAAGTTGTAAGGATTATACAATCCTTTGAAATTTGTCACTTAAAAAAGTCTTTTAAAATCCTATGAAATCCAAATTGACTACACTCCCCTAGTATTAGGGTCTAGTTGTATTCATCTTTACTTGGAAGTGAGAAGTGAAAGGTCTTAGGTTTGATTCTCGTCAAAGGTAAATTTGAACCACATTAATGGGCTACTAAAGTGAGGTTAAGTCCATTCCTTCTCCTCCCTTTAATGTAGATAATATCGTTTGTTAAAAAAATTGCGAAAGAGATGAGGCCTAAATCACAACAAAACCGGAAACAGAAAATAAAAAATGAAGCCCATAAACGTTAGACATCACAAAAATTCATATTGAGGTTCCATTACTAGTCGTTTAAAATATCTACGTGCATCTAATTTCATAGGTGGTTAAGCTAAGAAAAATATTTATATTAATTAGTTGGCCACTAGAGTATCTAAACCCTTGACATAGTATTAAAGCAATTGATCCTCTGGGTTCGATTGAGCCGAAATGTGACAATGAACTAAAAATCTACATCCTGAGTTAAAACACTCGAACTAAATTTTGAAGTTCAAAATAAATAAATTAATGACAATATCGATATAATTAGTAGTGAATTTTCAAGGTCTTTGAAACATTAACATGATATCACGACGATCCTTCTTTCAACTCGAATTGGAAAAAGAGATAAAAAAACACTCTGAAGCTCTAAGTTAAGATACGCAAATCAAATCCCTAAAATTCAAAATAAAAGAGGACATTCCACATGCACCTACTATGATAGTCATCATGTTAAACCTGATCGCAGTAAATACTTCAGTCGAATGATTGAATTATGAAAGAGAATAAACCTTTCATAGAATATCTCATCCCTACTAAGTGTATTGGTTGTTAGATTAGAATCAGTATTAGTGGAGTCACTGTCACTAGTTGTTAGATTAGAATCAGTATTAATTAGTTAGGGATTACTATCACGTGGACTTTTTTAGGATGCCTGAGAATACATTACAAAACACTAAATGTCATGACATAATTGGTTATATTATTTTTTTAAGTTTTTAATTAATTATATTATTATACTTCGAGTGAACCATGCTCTTAAAACATTGAAAAGTCTATCCACTGTTATGCACGAGCCGGAAAAGAATAAACAAACAGTCTACAAGAAACTACCACGGTGGTCGGTACTTGAAAATGAATTCTAGACTCTTGTTTCACATGACACGTCCTCAGTTTTATTCCTGACGTTGTAAATCACAAAATAGTGATCAGGATGAGGTTGAAATGCCCTGTGAGCTTTCTTGACCTCCGAAAAAGTGAACTGCGGTGGCGATGTCAACGTTTGGTCCTTTTTAAAAAGAAAAGAAAAACAATCTGAAGAAGAAAAAGTCCGAGTTTGCTATACTCAGGAAAATCTCAATCAATTCAAAACTTTCTCGGCATCGTAAGAAGGACAAGTTACAAAAAAACCGACTGAAGGAAAAACAAAAACAAGCAATCCATATCCTGTACAATATTTTACATTCAAAACACCAGCAGTAATTAAATTACAAAAGTATTTAATCACCAGCTAAAAAGGTGCTGAGACAATCTCCCTGGGTCCTCGTGGTCTTCTGTAATAATATTCCGAGTACTCAGGCTCCTCAACTGAAGCCATCATCAATTCATCACCACTTTGCTGGATCGAACTAACTACTGGCTCCAAACCCTGCATAATTAATAATAATTTAGTTAATTTAAATCTTGGTCTCTAATATTGTTATAAAATATTTATTCAAAAAATTATTGAAAGGGTTTTTTCAACCACAACAAACCTCTGTGAAAATGCACATTGCTTCTTCTATATTCTTTGTATTCACCACATACTTAGCTGCCTCCTGCACGATATCACCGCACTTATAAATTACAAACCCATAAAAAGTAAGATAATTTAAAAAAAAAAATTCAAACTCATAATTCCAATTTTCATTCCATATACTGTAGCAAAAAGGGATAAAGAAATGATCTTGTATTCGCCATATAAAGCCTCGTGTACTTTACTCTCTTCCTTCTGCTTAATACAAGAGTCTTACACGGTAAATAGTAAATCGTCCCGTTTTTGCCATCACGAAATGAACTATTCTTGCCAAGGAGGAGCATATACGCATGTCTCAAAAACCCAGAGAAGAATTAACATAAGTACCCTTGCAAATTCAATTTGGTCCATTCCCAACGTTTTTGGCTCGGTTTCTATGGATGATTTCCTATCAATCCGAATTGGTGCAGCCTCCATTTTCTTAATAGTGAGAGAGACAAGACCGAAAGACATAGAGAGAGAAACAGAAAGATTTAGAGAGAGAAACAGAAATTTTCTTTTGCTTTCTGGGAGCTGGGAGACAGAAACAGAAGCGTAGCGATTGATATCTGATGAAGAAAACGAAGTATTGTGAAGGGAAGTGTTTATAAAAACTCTGCATTTTCATTTGGTAGGTCGTGACTCATTGACTGGTTGACCCTAGTGAGCCAATGCACAGATGAGCAAGATCACCACGTAACGTTACGTGGCCAGTAATACACCGCGAAATTCGAGTACGTGGCATTGGGAGCATGAGGTTGCCCCACGTGGCAGTTGTTGGTTACGTCGTCCTTATGCTGAAACTCTGGGATGGCCGTGATCCCCACATTTTTTTTCCAAATGGGGTAACTTATGGCGGTTTTCTTGGGGACACATGTCGGCGTGGAGAGATTTTTTTAATGTAATCGTCACATGTGTAGTATATCACGTATAATTATATAAATGGTAGGATATGTGTGTTAAAAAGTTAATAACTTAAAAAATAAAATTTTTCACCACGTATATGATGTACTATTCATATTTCTGTCACAACTTAAAATTTCTCAACGTGGTGCTGCACCCTACAGTGGCCAACCAGGAAGGACCACGAAGGCGTTTCGTTTGCCTCAAAAGTTATAGCCACTTTATTTTTAAAATTTTTATTCGACTTATTTTCAATTATAACACGTGTGTTGTGATATCGTTGTTGTCAATAACTATCAAATAAATTTTTGGGTAAAGTGTAAAAAACGACTTTAATTATTGGTCTCACGACATTTTCATATCTCATTTTTTTAAAATGATAATGTTATATCTTATCTTACGAATTTGTGCCAATGTCAAACCTCTATCAGTTTTTCTGTTAATTTCTCAGTTAAATACTGATGTGGCTTGATTCAGGATCCACTTTCTATTAAAAAAGTAATAAAATATTATTAAAAACTAATAAAAATCATTTAATATTTTTTAAATATTAAAATGATAAAGAAAAGTTAAAAAAAAAAACCAAACAAAACTTCCCCTCTGTGCGCCCTCTCTCTTCTCCCTCATCCTCATCTCTATTCCTCTTCTTCCTACCTGCTTCAACCCAGAAAAAAGAAAAAAAAAATACAAAACAAAACAAAACTTTGTCCCTTCCCCCCCCCCCGCCCCCCCGGGCACCCTCTCTCTTCTCCCCCATCTTCATCTTCTTATTCCTACCTGCTGCAACCCAGAAAAAAATAAAAATAAAAAAAACTTTGTCCCTTCCCCCTGCCCTCTCTTCTTCCCCATCTTCATCTTCTTTCCTCTTCTTCCCTCTATCTGTTGCAACCTGGAAAAAAAAAAAAAAAAAAAAAAACAAACAAACAAACAAAACTTAATACATAAAACTTTGTCCCTTCCCCCCCTCCCCGCACCCTCCCTCTTCTCCCCCATCTTCATCTTCTTTCCTTTTCTTCCCCCTATCTACTGCAACCCAGAAAAAAGAAAAGAAAAAAAAAAAAAAACCAATTGTCTTCCCTTGCACCCACCATCTTCCCTCCTCTACACACCCCACTCCTTATATCCACACTCATTCCCCTCATTTTCTTCGTGCCCAGGTTCTCCACCTACAGAATCGGCCTAGCGAACGAGATTTGTTTTGTTTTTTTTTTCTTTTTCTTTTTCTTCGTCCTCCTTGTTCTTTCTAGGTTGTAGGGGGTTGGATTTTTTTTTTTGGGGGGGGGGGGGAATGAACTGGGTTGGGGCTTTTTTTTTTCTTCTTCTTCTTCTTCTTCTTCCTCATTCTTCTTCTTCTTCTTCTTCTTTGGGGGGGTTGGGGGTTGATGGGTTTTCAAAATTTTTTTTTTTTTGGTTGAAGATTAAGCAGGGAAGAAGATGAAGACGGGGAGAGAGAGATGGGGGGAGGGGGGTGGAAGGGATGAAAGGTTTTTGTTTTTGTTTTTGTTTTTTTTTTTTTGTTTTTTTAACCTTTCTTTATTATTTTAATATTTAAAAATATTAAATGATTTTTTTTTTCAGTTTTTTTAATTTTTTTAATAGAAAGTGGGGTTTGGATCAAGCCACGTCAACATTTAACTGACAAATTAACGGCAGGCTAACGGAAGGTATAACATTGGCACAATTTTGTAAGATGAGGTATGATATTGTCAATTTTAAAAGATGAGGTATGAAAATGTCGTGAGACCAATAGTTGAGGTAGTTTTTTGTACCTTACCCTAAATTTTTTATAGAATGCTTTATAGCACAGAATATTGAATGGTCATACATTAATACATGTAAAAAATAAAGGGAATTGTTATTGGCACTCCAAAAATCTCATTCTACACTCCAAACTTTCTATATTTGGAAAGAAAACTACACTTGTGAGGATTGTAGAATGAGATTTTTGGAGTGTCAATAATACTTCCAAAATAAATATCGCGGAAATGAAAAGGCTTTATTGGATATTTAGGTATACAACAAAAGACAGGATTAAACACGAGGATATCTTAGAGAAATTATGAATGGCTCATTGAAGATAAGATGAGAGAAAATCAGTTAATTAATGTGTGTCACGCTCAAAACTTGTAGGTTAAAAAACTAAAATAATTAGTCATTGGTGGGTGTGGAATTGAAGTTATAATGAACTCACCCTTAAAAATAGGCTACGTCCATTTTATTGCTTATAATATATTGATTTCAAAGATTACAAGTAGTGCTAGGGTAAAGACAATAAATCTCTTCTTTCAGTTGTCCGACCCCATTACAAGAGTTTCACACCCCTTTATATACGCCCTTAGTGAACCCAAAAAAGCTTGGGCTCACCTACCTTTACTTTTCTGGCATTTAATGAGCCATTGAAATAGGCTTGCTTGCTAATAACATTTTCCACTATTGGTCGATATTCGCCGATGAAGTGACATTCACTCGGTCGAAATTGCATATCCTTCTAGCTCAATGTGTGACGAGCAACCTGCTTGGCCTTGATAAATCAACGATGCCATTCCCAAGCAATGACCTGATTGCCTTTACGTACCATCATGGACTCCTGCTTTTGTTTGGTGGTTGACATGTGGCTTGACTGGTGTCTGAGTAGGCCTGCTCCTAAAGTTTTGTGCCATTAAGTTGTCGATCTCCCCCACGTGTCCTTGGCGGTGAGAAAGTACTTTATGTCGTTCGTCGGATGAGGCTGGTGAGTGGTTGGTTATAGCACTTGGACATGCCTCATTTTGATTCTACTGGGTCTTGGTCTTCCTATTCTTCTTTGGCCTTTGACTTTTATTGGGCTTTCGTGGTCTGTTTTCCAACGTGTACTATTTTGAGGGTCGAAAATGTGGTTTAAACATGTGAGCAGAAGACCTACAAATATTCTGGTTAGGAAATGTGATTATGAGACAGAGGCTTAGGGCAATAAGGTTAAAGGAAAACCTAGGAAGACTTGGAAATAGACGTTAAGAAAAGACATGGAGTATTTAGACCTTACAGAAGACTTGGCGCATAACTGAGCACAATAACGTTGTAGGATTCATACAGTTGACCCCACTTAGTGGATAAGGCTTTGTTGTTGTTGTTGTTGTACTTGCTCTTTACCAAATCTCACTTTAGCTTCTACACTGCATATTGACTTACTTTACGACCTACAGTTTTCTTCATGTCCACTTTACCCCTACATTATGTATGGTCTTACTTGCACTCTTCCTCAATTTCTTATTTACCCGATTTCGTCAAATAAGTTAAAATTAGCCATCAATTGTGCTAACAATGGCATGAACAATTTAGTCTTTTCAACTATGTTGGTAAGATCCTGGAGTGTAAGGATGTGGGGTAAATTGAAATAGGTTTGATTTCTCCAGATTAAAATAAAATAAAATAAGAAAGAGGATAGCGATAGGAGTAGAGATTCTCATGATAGAACTCTTCGAATCTTTGTAAAAAGGTCCAAAAACATTAATTTAATTCACGAATCTTGAAATTGAACATTCTCTTATATTATCTCTTAATCTGAATAATTAAGACCTAGTTTGAGTTTAACCCACCTAACATTCTAGACAACCAACGTATTTGAAAAGACTAAATTTTCTATGCCACATCAGTACAATTAACAACTCTTTAAACTTATTTGACGGAATAATGTAAATGGGACATTAAGGAAAAATGCAGATGTTAAAGTATGACAATATAGAGTATAGGAGGTAAAGTGAAACACAAAAGAAGAGTGCACGTGGTTAAGTGAGTCAATATAAATATAAAAAAATAAAGTGAGATTTGGTGGATAATATATGTGTCATAACTAAAAATAAGTTTTTTTTTTTTTTTCAGAGTAACCTTAATGGATGAGACAAAAATAAAACATATGACTAACTTGATAAAAATTCGAGTTTATACAACAGATCAACCATCTATGTTGATGGTAGATATTGTGTAAATTCACATCCTCAAACTCTAGATACAAAGCTGCCCTCTAAAATTTGGTGAACAGGAACTCGTATTTCATGTGGTATTAGTTGAATAGTTTTTATTTTATTTTATTTTTTTTAAGGATCCTATACACTAATAGTACTGTGACAATGGATAAATACAACAAACGATGGACTTGCATTTTATTCAGACATCGATAAAATTTTAAAAGTGATTTCAACTCAATTCAAAGAAAAGAGCGCCCCATACTATAATTACAAACTAATTTTTATCCTCTAAAAACAAGTCACAAATCAAGTTGGGAAACTCGTACGAAATAGTGTCCCATTCTTCGCTAATTCCGTATCTAGCTAACTCATGGTGACATGATTGCTTCTCTATGATCATGATTCAATTAATAAACTTTGAAGAAGGCCTCTAGCACAAGAGATGGTCTTTGACATGGCACCCGAATTGTAGTTGGTGCGTGAGGAAAGTGAAATCAAAGAGTGAGTCAAGATTAGCATGACATATCAGAAGTATTGTAAGGTTGTCGGGGCCCAAAATTTCTCCCAGCACAGTTAATAACGGGACCCTACAATGAAGATCTTCCTCCACCACTTGCATGGCTGGTAGTGAAAGCGTTAATGGTTGAATAGCTAAACTCTCTGAATTTTGAGGCGCTAAAATTTAAGAAGCTTCTAAACAGTATGTAGCTTTGGGAGTTTTATACAGGCTTTAAAGAATAAGCTAGCGG